GATTTTAACATCATGAACACTGATGTCATAGCTTCATTTCTGTAAATATCATTTGAAGAAACTGAGTTCAGTGTTTGATTTTTTTGCAGCGATCTTTAGCGCGATATTTTGCATCATGCCCATTGCTCAGATTGCAATTGGTGAGCTCCATACTTACTTACTTGAATGAGTGTTCAAAGGTGTTGAAGTTTTCCAGGCAGCTCTGATTGTACTTTTTGAGTCATCCTCCTTGTGTCCACCAGGGGCAATATACCTTCATGAGTGTCCGCGCCAGCACTACATCCCCATCTATCTGATAGTGTTAGGACTCTCAAGCCTGTTGTTCGTGTTGCTCTCCTGCTTTCCCTGTGCCAAAGAGCCAGAAGAAGGCACCTCCAACCCTCTGAGCACAATCTACAAAGCCTGGAACTCACTGGCAATGTTCTTTGTCTTCTGCTGGTTTATCGCTGGTGAGTTAAAAAGTCAAGGAAGTGACCTGTTTCTGGTTGGCTGCCTGTTAAAATTGTGTAAATACAGTCGTGGACATCAGACAAACCACCGGCATAAATTCACACCGAAGAGATTAAACATTAGCTCTCAGCACCACAAACAGAACATGACTCCTTCTAGGCAATGTTTACAGTGCGCAGTGTGTTTCTATTATAGACCACATTCGTTTCAGCTGCATGAAGCTTTAAAAGGCCACAAAAAATATGATACTGTGTAAAGTGCTGTCCCTCCTTCATGTGAATCAGATTCATCATAGCAGACATTGAGTCTTATGTACCCAGGGTGCAGGATTCTGTCTAATCATTAAAACTTGTGGCTCATTAATACATATTAATAGCACAGCGTGAAAGAAGCTAGCCACAACAAAAACAAGGACGTAAATTAGGACTGTAGTCTTTAGGGTTGAGTGTCTGATTGCTCAATATGCTCTCTATTCTCATTAGTCAGAAGATCAATAGTAGGGCTGAACGATATATCGCATTTGCGATAATATCGCGACATGATCAAGTGCAATTTTCTAACCGCAAAGGCTGCGATTATACTCTGGACATGTCCAA